AAGTGACAGCACATTCCTCCAGTGAGTCCTGAGGGACTTCCTTTTCTTCAGCCTTCTGCACCTCCCTGATGAGCCTGGTGGGATAGAAATGACAGAAGATTAAACCAAAAGGCATTGGACCCCAGGAAGTCCTACTGGTTTTGACAGGAGGCATAAGAGAGTGGTCTCAGAAAGCAAAGGGGAGTTTCCCTTTAAGAAGGAACAGACAGGCCGGGCGCGGTGGCTCACGCCTGTAATCCCAGCACTTTGGGAGGCCGAGGCAGGCGGATCACAAGGTCAGGAGATTGAGACCACGGTGAAACCCCGTCTCTATTAAAAATACAAAAAATATAGCCGGGTGCGGTAGTGGGCGCCTGTAGTCCCAGCTACTCAGGAGGCTGAGGCAGGAGAATGGCGTGAACCCGGGAGGCGAAGCTCGCAGTGAGCGGAGATCGCGCCACTGTACTCCAGCCTGGGGGACATAGTGAGACTCCGTCTCAAAAAAAAAAAAAAAAAAAAGGAACAGACAATCCTCTCCTCTCTGCAACAGAGCAGAGAAAACCAGAGATGAAACAGTGGCTGGTGATCATTGCACTGGGTAGATAGGAGTTGAGGACAGAGACTCAGAAGTCTCTGTATGGTACCGTCTTGAGAGCACACACAGAGACTAAAAACTGCTGCCACACGGTGTGTCTAAGCTGGGTTGTAGTTAACCTACTGTGGCCACAGGAATACAGGCCTTTGAGCCATTGTAGACTCCAGAGATGGTGTGCCTTCTAAATTTATTTTTATTTTAATATTGTGACATGAAATGTAAATTCTTTGTCTAGGTACTTTTCTTTGTGTTCAACTTTGCTAGGTACTTCCTAATTCCTCTGTTTGTTGCCTCTCTGCTATTTATCTTTCCTTAAAAGAACATAAAGACAACTGTGTAGAAAGCAGCTTTGCATCTCCTCCTGACTTTCACTGCAGGGGAGAACATGTCTCCTTTGTGTGTGCAGGAAGTCCCTAGGGCTGTGAGTTCATCTGGGGTCATGCTTACGCGTACCATGAAGACAATGGACAAGCATGTTAACAGGGCTATTTCCTTGCTGGGTGAGTGCATGAAATCAGTGGACTCTGCAGGTTTCTTATCCTGCATCTGGAATCTGTAACTACCTTCACCTGCCTTGTGTTCTTTCTGAGACCCTTTTCATATTTTACCACCCATTACCCGCTCCTGATTATTCAGTGTTACCTGGGGGCAGGTGATTCCTGTACTTTCTCAATCTCCTCGTCTTTCTCATCTTCATCCTCATCTTCATCATTCTCTGCAAATACAGAAGTGTCCATTGAGATATTTCCTACTTCACCTATGCAAGTACAGTGAGCCCTATGTGCACGGATACACAAACATCTATATGTATGAGACCAGACGGTACAAGAGCTCTCATGTTTTATCTTTAACAAAATGCCCTGGAATGGTTTCCTCATCCATGAGGCAACGCATTTCTGATCTGCAGGGTCACCATCAAGATGTGGCCAAATATTGAAAAGATCTTTTCCTCTTCATATCACTGCAGGCTTGTCCAGCCTCTCTCTGGACTTCAGCAGCTGTCTCCCCAATCCTGCCACAGATCTGATTCCCAGGCACGGGCTCTGTGTCCTGTCACAGCTCACATTTAGAACCTGTATCTTTCTCTTAGAACAGGACAAACAGCCTTGTCCCACAATACTCCATACATCAGGGACTTCATGGGCCCCTCAAGTGGCTTATACTGTGTTATCCAGGGACACTGTCTCCATGGGGAGTGCTCCAGCCTCAACCACTTCCTACCACCAAATGCCAGTACTTCAAATACCTTCTCCAACAGCACACAGCAAGGGGCTTTATCTCATTGTGCAATATAGTCATAAGTGTTCCCACATTTGAATGCCAGAGACAATTTGTTTACCTTTACAGATTTAGAGACAGAAACCCAGGAAGGATAAATTAATCAGTTGACCACAGTTGCTAAGGACGTCATTGAAGATAGAGCCTGGGAACCTTCACTCTTAGGCCGGGCTCTTTTCACTCTAACAAGCTGCCTCCTGTCACAGCCTCCTTCCTGTCCTTTAAAACTGGACGAATGCTGCCTCTTGCTCCAAAGACCATGTTCCATCAAGAAAGGAGGAGACCTTTGCAATACTGTGACCTCCA